TTATCATTCGTGCCATTTACTTAAAGAAGATAGGTGTTTAGTAATACATACAGTTAGGGATAAACAACTGGAAGTGAAATTAAGCATCACCTGCCTCGAGTTATTTGTTACCATACATTCATATTGCACACTTTCTCCATTACTGATAGAATAACTGGCATTTTAATATGCCCTTGATGGACCTTGGGGAAAAGAGGGATTAGAAACTCCAGGCAAAACTGGTAGGAAGAAGGAAGTGACTTCATTATTTCCAGCCCTAAAGTTCTCGTCATATTCATTAGGTGTATCTACAACATACAGGCATATCTTACCTACCTTCTTATAGAGAAGCATTTCAAAGTGCTCTTTCCTACCCATCAACTGTACCCAGTTTCCCTCCTGTTCTCTAGCTTTGTTGTGCTTACCTTCCCCTCACCAAAACCCTGCCTTTCATCTTCACAGAATATGATGGAACATGTTTCGGGTACAATTTTCTGATAATGTGTTCAAAAAGCCTCTATAAAAATTCACCTTTACTATGATTGACAAGCATTCAAGAAGAACAGTCTCCCAGGATGAATTTATGCACATTACCAATCTTTTCATTACTCAGTTATGGTACCTGTAATAAATATAGCAACATTAATGCTTAAATCTATTCCTGACATCTTTTGAAGACTTAAATAACAAGTTTCCTTTGTCAGTCTAAACCACGTGTTTACATTTATTCAACTATATAAAACTATGGTTAAGTTACACTACCACTCCTAAAATCTCCTCCAAACTCCCTATCCCATTACTTACTTATTTAGTGGCAAGGTTAAAAGGAGTCTCATCCTGAACACACAGGATTTAGAATAACCTCAGCTATCTCCATTTGCTGTAAACTTTAAATAGAAGCAGAATTCACTAGATTTGTCTATTCATAACAGAGATAAGCTCACTCTTATAGCGTGCTTTTTTCTCATTATATTTTACAGCTTCAACAACTCTTCACAGTAAAGTATGTTAAACTTTTTCCCCCCATGAAAAATAAACACACAAGTATCCCTATGCTAACAACTATTTGAGTACTTTTCCATACAAGTGTATACAGCTCTTCAGAAATCAGAATAACAAAGGGATCCACTTTATTCTTTCCATGTCAAGAGCAAATGCATTAGAATACTAGTCTAGATTTCACAAGACTGTCTTCTTGAAGATTCAATGAATTTCACTGCAAATACACTAAGAGACCTTTCCATTTTCCTTTCAAGGGAAAG